GTTAACAGCACTGTTCTGGATAAAGAACGTTAGAAGTTTGGGCACTTTTGTGAATAACAGAGTTCAAAATTAGAATCTATCGGATCGTGGAAAATGGCACATGTACCAGGTGTGGAAAACCAGCCGATATGCCCTCAAGAGGATGTTTGAAGAAACTCATTGAATCAAGATGGTGGAGGGGGCCCACCTTGGTTGGCATGCCGGAAGAGAATGGCCTCGTTCTATCCCAATCGATAATAAAGGAGAGGGTAATTCTGAAAAACGTAAAGCAGTTATAGTTTCGTTAAGCAATGTTAGCGATATGTCTTCACAATCTTTGGCTATTTTCAAAGTATAAGAAAATACTTAGAATGATTGGGTGGATACACAGATTCATAGGAAATACCCAAAAGAGGAAAGAAGAAAGAGAATCGGGAGAGTTAAAAAGTTTATGGATTTGATAAGGGCTGAGAATCTATCATGAATTATTAACATTATTTCTTTTCATCTGATGATATTAAGAAGCTGAAGTCATAAGTGTGTTAAAAGATGACGAAGGCATTTTACGTGTCAAGTCTAGGTTGACTGAAAGGAAAGACCATGAAATTTTTTTATTTATCCGATGTTACTTCCGAGAATCATAAGATTGTGGAGAATTGATAATTGATATAAACATCTCTCTATGTCTCATGCAGGAATTCACGACTGATGTCAACACTTAGAGAGACGTTTTGGATCCTGAAGAGTAGAGCTACGATTCGAAAAGCTTATATGCATGTGTCAGGTGCAGGAGACATGGAGGTAAACGACTACAGACTGTGCCTGCTACTCTACCAGAAAACAGAGTTAGAGAGGCTTGTGTTTTCGAGATTGTCGGCGTTGATTTAGCTGGCCAATTAATTTTGAAGGATAAAAGAAAAGCTTGGATTTTACTTTTCACATGTGCTGTTTTCAGGGCGGTCCATTTGGAACTGATTTTGTCCCTTTCAACTCAAGGATTTTTACTTGGTCTTAGAAGATTTATTGCTCCTAGAGGGAGGCCATCGATAATTTATAGCGATAAGGGAAGCAATTTGTCGGATCCAATAATCTCTTGAGATCGATTAATTGGAATACCATTGAGATAGAAGCCGCCACAAACAAATCGATTGGAATTTCAGTCCACCCGCAGCACCATGGTGGGATGGCTTTTGAGTAATGACTTGTTCAAACAATTAAGAAGCTTTTGCGAGTCATGAAACCTAGGCCAGTCATGTCTGAATTATGAAGAATTGATGCGTGTGCTATGCGACTGCGAAGCAACTGTGAATGCCAGACCACTCACTTATGTGTCAGATAACTCTGATGACCTCATCCCTTTGACACCGCTCTTGTTTTTAGGTGAAATTCCAGTCTTTGGAGTTCCTAATTTGGATCATCTTGATAAAGTTGATTTCAACAAAAGACTGAGACGTTTACAGAATTTACGAGAGCTCTTGAGAAAGAGATTTAGAAATGAATACTCGGCCTGCTAGTGCAACGTCATCTACAGTGCCGATTTCTCAACAGAAAAAAATCGTGATATATTCTTATCAAATGTGATGACAAACGCAGGGTGTTGTGGCCTCTAGCAAAGTATTGAATATATCCCGGAAAGGAGCAACATTGAGTTGTTCGTGTCAAAACATGTCTGGAGAATTAGTTCGACCCATCCAGAGAATATTCCCTCTCGAAATACCTTCATCTTTGGAGTCAGATGAGGCAATGAAACTGAGATGCGGGTGAAGACATTTAGTCTCAAAATTACAAAGAATAATTCAGCTGCAGATTTATCAAAGGACATTAAGACTGTCGTGACTAGAAGTGGACGACAAATCAAATTCCATCTAGATTCTAACTGAACCTACTTGAGATTTAGAGTAGAAATTTAAGAACTTAATTTTTTTTGTTACTATTTAGCTAATATTGTATGGACAGTATTTTTATTATATTTGTTTGCTGATTAAGTATGTCAACAATCAAAGGTGGGGTATTGTTAGAACCCAGCCTGATTTGTTATTTTCTTTCATAGTTGTCACTGCAAGAGTGGCACCATCTGATTTCGTTGTAGTTTGTTGCGTTCTATGGATTTTGAAATAAATTGACGCTGTAGAATTTTATATGTAAAGTTATTTTATTTAAGTTTATTAGGAGAAAGGAGAACGGTTAGTTCTTGCAAATCTCGAACAATAACGTTTCATGTTTTCATCATTCTTGCTCACTGGAAAAGTGCAGTCCTCTTCTTTTACCCTATTTTATTCCCCTTCTTTCTCGAGTAGCCAAACTACATTTTCCGATACATTTCTACTTATTGGCAGATTGCGTTTTTCCTTAATTTTCAAATTGGATCCGGCTTATTATTTTTTGTAGACTGTTAGAGCATTTTATAAAAGTAAGCTTGAATTTTGATTATGTCAAATAGAATTTCTGTTTATAGAATTAAAAGAAAGTATTATCACATAAAAACGAAGCAACTTAAACACTTACATTGAAAAGAAATGTTAATAAAGAAAACAAATAATATTAACTTTTTTTTGTAATTTTTGATCCCTTTAGATCATAATTGTTCTTTATTTGATAAATTCGGTTTCATATTTTTAATTTATAATTTCATGCCATCTTACCAGATTTTAAACTGTTGATCTATAATCCGGAAAAATCGATAATCCGGAATCGCCGAAGTCCCAACGAGTCCGGATTAACGACTTTTGACTGTAAAAGGATTAACAAAGATGTACCAAAAAAGCAAGCAAAGATTTATAAAAAAACAAAGATTTATAAAATGGAGGATGTACGTGTGTAGTTATTATTTTTTAAACTTATTTTCCCTTGAGTTAGAATGTATTCTAAAGTTCATGTTGATCTTTTATAAAAATTGAAATATCAAAATCTAAATTTCCTTTTGATTATTTTTCTGTCATTGTTACAACTGAGAAATATGTATCCTTTTTTTCAAATTGCTGTGAATATTTTTTTTTTTTTTTAAATTTTAGTCGATAAAATGCAAACTGTCTTTTTTATAGGTTGGTATGTATTTTTGTCATTGTTGAAAAATATTTGAAAAAAAAAAAAATTTTTTTTGTGCCGATAGTTCTATCATTGTATATTCGTAAACTTAAAAGCCTCTTACAGAAAAGAAAGTACAACATGTTCTTTGAAAATATAGTTCTGTCCATTTTCAATGAAGCATTAAAACATAAGTTATAAGTTGTGAAAGCATTTATGGGGTAATAAACCTTCCACAGTAAGACATAAACTTTCCACATGTGTATTGCTTTGCAATTTAAAAAATGTGTGATGTGATTTATTGTAGTTTTATGTTGAAAGCATTTATGGGGTAATAAACCTTCCACAGTAAGACATAAACTTTCCTATATTTGCTTGATTTAAAAAATGTGTGATGTAATTTATTGTAGTTTTATGTTGAAAGCATTTATGGGGTAATAAACCTTCCACAGTAAGACATAAACTTTCCATATGTATATTGCTTTGCAATTTAAAAAATGTGTGATGTTATTTATTGTAGTTTTATGTTAATCGGGTTTTATTTATTTATTATTTTTTAATGGGCTTGCTTTAGCTGTATTCATTTATTTAGAAATCACAGTTGTTGATGTCTGCATGTTATTGTATTAACAGGTCATGGAAAATGAAATAAATGACCATTTCCCCCTTAGAGCTAGTTACCTTTTTTTTTGTTTTGTTTTTTTTCTCCATTAGTCTTAGTTAGCAGCAATTAAATCATCAATCTAATCATATTGAGGAACCTCTTAAATTAGATAAAACTTTTAAAAAAACGGCATTTAAGTCATGTAGGCCAAATACCAATTAAAAATTGATCATCTAAACATTAATAAGCTTCAAATATTAAGTTCATTAATTTCATAATTATAGATTAATGTATTTTGCTGTACTAAATATATTAAAAACAAGTATTTTTTATTGTATTACTTATTATGAGGTGTCTACAAATGATGTGTAGCAGATATTACTATTTAAAAGATAAGATATAGATGGATAATGGAAACATTCCCTTTTATGCTGTAAGTGAGTTAACTGTTTATTTGATGAATTGATAAGTTGTTTATTTGTAGTTCTATGTATATTTTAGCCATATTTTCTTGTTGCCTGCTTATTTTCTCGGCTGGTCTGCAAGGGCAGGAGTACACTCCCAGATGTTTAAGGGCTCTAAAATTAACCTGTAATTCTGGTATATAAAGTCTATCAATATGTAGTTGATGGCGATGTATATTTAATCATAATGAAAAATAAAATGTTATTTAAAAAACAGTTTCATTTGTATGTGAAAAAAATCTGAATGTTGAGAAAAAGCATTATTTATGATTTGTCTGTTGGAGATCAGATCACTGCATAATGGTGGCCCAGCATAAAGATTCCAGCAACTTCATGAAGGTTGCTTTCTTCAAGTTAAAAATTGGTTTTAATATGTATATGGGCACTTTTGTGAAGACTGTCCTCATCTTACAATTGGTGGCCAACTTTCATAAAGATCCATTTACTTTTATGGTGTTCGCACTGCAATGTTCTGATGCCATATCCTGGAAACTAGAAGAGTAGATATAAGGAAGCCCTAAAATTATGCTGTATTTAGGATCTTACTTTATTTTAATCGGGTCTTGTTTTAACCTTCTTAATTTATTGTCTTAAAATTGAAAATAAACTTCATTGGCATTTTCAAATATTCTTCAGTTTTATATATATATAAACCTGAAGAAAAATTGCATTACCTCTCTTTGGAGCAGGCTCTAGCAACCATTGTTCCATGTCATATGGGCACGACAACAACAACAACAATAATTGCATTGCTGTGGAATTTGATTAAAATATAAGGAAATAAATAATGAAGGGAACGTCGAATTAAGAAAATGGATGAACAAAAATATATGTTGAAATCTTTTGTTACTTCTTAAAATGTTAAGTGAAGTTTTGAAATTGATTATGTAATGTTTTCTTAGATTGATATTTTTTATTTTTTAATGTAGAGTTTGGGGCTGTTTTCTGCATACCATTTGTCCTCATTTATGAATTGTAATCGTGTTTTGTTGCAGACTGCCAAGAGCTATATAAGTCTATCCAGGTACTTATTGTATTTTATTGTATTGGTTCACTAAAAAAGCAAGACTTTCAATAAAAATTTTATGTATTGAACTAAAGCAGTTAGTGGGATTTTTTCTAAAATGTTGTAATTTAATAATCTAGAATGTAGTAAATATATTGATATTATAAAAATTTGTATAATTTTATACCTGTTTTATTACCATGCTATATTTCTAACATTTTCTTATTACCACTTTTTTTATTTGCACAATATGCACTGCTTTAAAATGCAGCTGAAAATATCAGGAAATCAACAGTAGTCAGATAAGCCTAAATAAATAAAAATTCATCTTTATTTATTTTATAAATTAACATGATTTAAGAAAATTAAATATTGTATCAGTCTGCAAATTAAGGAAGAGAAACAAAGGAATGTTTTCTGTAGGAGATGCTTATTATGAAAGTGTTAAAAACAGTACTTTATTCCTTAAATTTAGAGAACAGCTTCATGAAGTAATTCTGTAAAATGTGAGTAACATTTAATTGTTAACTTAAATTGTGGGATTTTTACAAATGTTGAAAGAGATATGTTTGCAATTATAAAAAGCATTTTCAATAACTTTAGATGAAGAAACCAAAATAGTCAATTGATAATTTTGATAATTCATGACTGGTGATAGGTTTATTATTTCCAATTTCTTGTGCTTTTAAGCAACATTTCACATTTCTTTACTTGTACAAGTCTCATCATAATGACACCAAGATTATTACAGAGTTCATGTTTACTTCTCACACACAGTTCTTAGTTTTGATATTTCTACAATTTCTTTTAATGCAGAATCAAAAGAATTTTCCCATTCCAAGGACTTTTGCCATACGAGTTCTGCAAGATAGGATTCAAAATGATGATTAGCTATGCCTCATTCCTTTTTATTCTGCCAGTGGAGTGCATGGTCTTTTAAAATTTATGATTCACAGTGATATTAGTGTAACATGCTTTTTCCAGTTTTGTATGCTTGTCAACAGCCTAACAAAATCATCAGTAGAAAGTTTGGTTTGGTTTATTATGGTAAAGCACACTAGGGCTATCTGCCTAAGGGGAGGGATGCTTTCGTGGAGGGCTTTCTAAGGGAAACTGACTCGTATACACGTTACACATTGGGAAAACCACGAAAACACCCATACAGCCAGCCCGTTCGCGGGATTTGAACCTCGAACCGAACTACCAGTGTTCAGCGACTTTACCGCTCAGCCGCTGGTGGGCCCTACTTTAGAAGATTTTAGTGTTTTTTCACAAGATGAAACTTTCATCTGTTTCTACAATTTTTAAAGAATTACCTATTCTTTTATTTTGTTGTTGGAATTAAATGTAAAGAACACACCTTTCTTACAAAACTGTTCAAACCAATTGTCATATTTTCACAAAGGTTGATTTTTTTAAAACTGCTCTCACCAGTGTCAGTTCCTCTGTCCAAAAGTAATTGAAACATAGTACTCTTACAAATGTTATTCTGCAGCCACTGAATCTGTTATATGCAGCTTTTCATGGTGCAAATCCAAATGCATAGTTTCATTCTATGGCCATTTTCACACATTCAGATACAAAATAAAATGCCTATATTTTGGAAGAACTATACAACATCTTCCAGAATTATTGGTGAATAAAAAAGTATTAAAAATTGTTCTGAAAAAATAAATACACCCCCCCCACTCGCATTTCTTTCTTCTCATGATGAGTGAACTAGTTAAATGATACCTCGTTAGGGCTGCCATTGGCGATGTATTGCTGTTTTTGGTAAAGTTTAAAAATGGTCCATAAAAATAAGGAAGTTATGCCAAATTAATTTTTTTTTTTTTTTTTTAAAGTTAAGCTGGTGTATAAAGAATAAAATTTGTCATGATATTCTTTAAATTTCTAAAAATTTGTATTTGAAAGTATGAGGATATTTTTATCCGTTACATTAAGATATGCGACTGCATAATTTCAGGTATAGACTTGATTTGCAGTTCTTACTTTATCTGAAATTGTAATGTTCTGCATCTATCTGACTCTTATTTTGGTACTTCCATATTATAGTGGCCCCCAAGATTGAATCGCTAATAAACTAAGATATATCTGCACATGTAATGAGGTATATTCTTGTATACTTGTTACGTTCAGTTGATTAGCGGTTAAATTTTGGGGGTCGCTATAATAAGGAAGCAGAATTATTTATATCTGAACTTACATTTCATTTTTTATTGAATACATTTACTTAAAGTATACTTCACTCATAACTTTAAAATTAGTAAGTTATTTTTTAAAAGTAGGTTTTAATTTCTTACTTTATTTAAATTAATCAAAAAGATAAAGCAAGTAATAATGTAACTTATTGGATGGTATTATTTTATATGCTGACTGTAAAGAATGTGTGATATTTTTAAATTTAGAAGTTAAAAAAGTCATATCAATCATGTATGCAGTTGAAACTTCAATTAGCAGACACTCATGGCATCAAAACTTTCTTTATTATTAGGAAGTATCCAGTAAATGATAATGCATTTTTTAAACGTAAATTTCATTTTTAGTGTCTAGCTTTTTAGTAATTGTCCATATTTTCTAAAATGAAGTACCCATTAATGGATGTTTGATTGTTAAAGTAGACAGGAATAACTGTTATGTAATATGATCACAGTTAATATTATCATTGGATATGTTTATGAAGTCCTGCTCTTTTGTATATGAAAACATGCAAAATACATCACTTATTGTTATCAACAATTCAGTTAATATGATCCAAATATTCGAGAATAAATTTTTTAAATTGAAGAAAAGTCACTAAATTAAGAATCCTAGTTTGATGTAGATTTTTCAATAATTTTATTAATTTTGAGAGGATCAGACACAAGTGCTTCTTCTAGTGCAAATGTAATCTGCAATTCCTCCTCCCTGAAAACATTCATGCCAAAGCTGAGGTTGCTTTTTTGTCTAATTTTAAATTTTACATTAGCAAGATCTCCTCCAGTGAGGGATGCCCTCTAAGTATCAAGATTAGTGTCAGCCATCGGTCAAGTAATTACAGAAACATTATGAAGAATTCAGAAACAAACTTTTGCATTTTCTCAATTAAAATGCTATGAAACTGACTATCTGTATGTTTCTTGTTGTTTTTATATTAAAATAGAAAAATTCCATTGCTATTTTTAAGGATATGTTTTTCTCATTATTTAATGTTATCAAAATAGTTGTGGGCAAATATTATCACAATAAGTGTTACCTATTGTATTGCTTAATTTTTTTTGTAACTTTCAGTTATCATATGTATAAAAACAGCATACGTTGAATGGATTTAAATCATTATTAGCCCAAAGGAGTATTAGCTCAGAGAAGGGCTATTAGTCTCGAAATGGCAACTTGCATCAATCACTATAAGCGGTTGTATCACTTTTCAGTTTGTTGCCACCAAATATTATCTCCCTGTATTATGTTTAAAAAAATTAAATAAGGAAGAATCTGCATGAATCTAAGAATGTTTCTCACATTGTGAAAAAACAACGATACCTAGAGCCATCAAATTTTGAATAATGTAGCCCATGTCCACCTGAACATGGGCACCTGGAAGCCCAAATCTTAAATTTCGAATTTGTTTTATTGTCTATTTCATATTTTAAAGAACTTTAATGAATGTTTGATTAAGAAACTCGATGATTTCAAAGTGAGCAGTGGCAAGACACTGTGTGGAATAAATTTTTATCTCCAGTGCATGAGGCTGTCTGTCGGAAATTCTAAAGATATGCTGTTTTTAAATATTTTTAACCCAAATTCTCTCAAAACATGTATGTATGTATGTGTAAATGAAAAAAACGCCCCTTTGGGCATAATATGAAATGTGGAAGCTTTCAAATCTTTCAAATTAATTTTTATTATTAATCTGTTTCTTTTCATTTTTTATTTCCAGAAATTTAACTATGTCATCAAGTGATTCATTAGTGGTTGCTGTTTGCCAATTGAATTCAACTGCAGATCGAAGTAAAAATTTTGAAGTCTGCGAAAATTTTATAAATGTTGCATCATCTCGCCAAGCTAAGGTGCTTCCTTTTTTTACTCCCCTCCAGTTAAATAATAAACATTCTTCTCAATATTAGTTGTTTGAAGCAGCAAGAAAATTTTTTTTGTATTTTTCCAATTAATTAAAACTTAATCTTCCAGCATGTGCGCTTAGCACTTTACATGAGCACGTGCACGTCTTTTTTTTTTTTTACGACATCTGTTATTTTACCGTTTTTTGCACGAAAAATGGCAGAAATGAGTGAATATTGATAATAAATTTGTTAAAACATAAAATATTAATCTTATTATTGAAAAATACAAATGATGTCACATTCAAATGATAGTAAATTATTATTAAATGCTTATATTAGTTAGGTGGTAAAGCAATGATGTATTTTATTATGGAAATTTAAAAATTTATTATTTAATAACTATATTTTAAAATCTAAGCTAGTTTTAATATTCATCTGTCCTATCCTGTTGATTTAGCATCGAATCGAAGACAACTTGTCAGAAATATAAATCTCTTGCAGCTCATCACAAGTCTTGTTATTTCAATTCCATCACTTGAGAACAAGTCTTTTGCATTTACATGGTGTCCTTTTTTTATTCCTATCATATAAAGCAATCCAAAGTAGACCATCCTTTCCACTCAGGTAACAGTGCAGTCTCTATCGAATATTTTGCCTTTTAGTAAACTTACATATTTATTTGCTCATTCCAAAATCTCATCAAGCATATTTATATCAGCTATTTTCAAAAATATTCCCATTTCATCCTTTATATCCTTGGCATGGTGCTTTATGCCAGGTAACGCTCACGATATTCTTATTTGTCTTTGAGCAGTTTGCATACTTTGTTTTTACCACTTAGAAGATTTATCCGTACTAACAAAAAATATATCATCATCATTCCTTTTTTTATATCATTATTACTATCATCATCCAAAATGTATTGTTCAGATTCAGTGCTGATATTATTTATCTCTATATTTTCCTCACTTAGATTGCTGTTCTCACATCCAAAGGTTTCCTTGTCGTCTTGTTTTTCATCAGATAATTCTTGAAGAATGCGAGCAAAATTATCTGGTTGCACATGATCTTTTGTCATGAAAACCTATATAAAAATTATAGAGTTGAATTTATACAAATTAAAATAATACACTTCAATTAATAACACAAACTTACAAAATATTTGAGAAAAAAATATTTTCCGAATTTTCACTCGCAACCACGCCTGTGTTATAACTTTTATGATTAAGCTACCACATAGTGCAAAATCCCAGTAAAAAAACAAAAAAAAGTCATATGGCTTCCTGTTAGCACATTCCATGATATGGGGAAGGTTTGAAAAGAGGAATAGAAATGACATTCAGACATCTCAGCTGCGATATGCGAAAAGTGTGCATTAAAAACCGAATTTGTCGTATTCTTTGTGCATAGTATGCATGCTGGAAGGTTAAAGACTATTTTGGATGAATGAAAAATACTATCTAAAAATTTCTGTATGTTTTTAATAGCATGCTAAAAAGCAGAGTTATTCTTATGTACCTTTCTTGATGATTTCTTTAAGATATTTTCAAGGTATAATAATGAAACTCGTAAACAACTGATGAAAAATAAGCTTTATTGAAAGAAGTAAATCTAAAACAGATAAAAAATAGCTTGTGAAAAATGAACAATTTTAAATAATAATTTCTAAGTTTCATAATCACTTTTTAAATAAAATAATCTCTTTTTGTTAATGTGATTTGAAGATTTCTATCATGAAGTTCAAAGTAGAGAGAATTATAGTTGGATATTCATAGTTTATAAAAATTTTATAATAAACATTCATAGGCTAGACTACAATTCAGTTTAAAGAACTTGCTCTAGAAAGAAGTCTACTTGTTTACTCAAAAATCTAGTAATATGTTGTTTCATTTACTATGCATTATGGAGATAATCCCAACACTTCTTGGGTGTGTTTTTTACAGCATTGCTTAATAGAATACACATTTCTTATATGATGTTTATGTGCTATATCACTTCTGTGAGAATATCAGTTGTTTTTGAGATTCATTTAAATTTACTTTGGACACTGAGACAGTTTTATTCAATGCAGATTATATTGAAGAGTCAATTTCTGGATTTTGAAACAGTTTTTCACACCTAAACATTTTCAGTAACACAGTCAAACAAAATATCACTGTTAGGCAGAACTGAATTTAAAGTTGCATGAATTTTGTAATCAAGTGCTTAGCACAATGCATACATTTTTCTTTGAAATTAAAGAATAATCTGAAAAAATATGCTGACTGATTAACATTTTCAATAGTGTAATTATTAACGTTAATTATTTGCAACTGAAAGTGGACTTGAGTCATAGATTAGCACATGAAATATGAAAATGAGTTAATGGATAATATGTTGCACAATAGATGCATGTTGGAATTTATGTGAATGTGATTTTTCAGAGTGATCAGTATTCATTAGTTATGACTTGGAGGCATTATTTTAGTAAAAGGCAAGCACAACCGTAATTGGTTAACTAAGGGAGGGAAAACAGAGATAGATGTCCAAAACTGGAATACTCCTCAGAACTTGGAACTGCTTTTTAAGCAGTGAATTGGTTAGCAGATTGCCAAATCATGATGGTCAAGAGCAACAAGTGAATCCGAAAAATGGTTTTGTTGTTATTTGACTCAAACCATGAAGCAATTACTAGAGAAGTTTTAGACATTCAGGCTGCTAAAGGAATTTGAATCAGCCATTCTACTATAACACAAAGATTTTTGTAAGGTTATATTTTATGCAAGAAAACAATGGTTTGTGTCTCACTCACTTTGTCTTTCAAAGGGAACCATTTAAGTTGGCATCATCATTATGTTCAATGCAGCCAAGATAAACGGGACAGTGTACTCTTTACTGCTAAGTCCATATACAGACTGAACTATAATTCTAGACAGGTTTTGATTTGGAGGTACTGACGAATAGACAACTTGCCTTCATATCAAAAATGGTCACACCAAGCTGTATATTTACAATGAAGGTTGATATGTAGATGAGATCTTGGAGCTCCAAATTAGGCTATTCAGGGTGATGTTAGCCCAAACTTTTTGTTGCAGGCAAACATAATGTTTGCCTGCATTAATAATCTCTGATGTCAGAATACTTGGGAACATATCCCTGAAAGGGAACAGCCAGATTACTCACCAGACTCAAGCCTGATTGAGCATGTGAGGAATGCTTTAGTTATCCTACAGATAATCCAAATAGCAGCATACCAAATGCCTCTTTGGATTCTCCAGGATCTGGAAAGAGTGACATGGAATTCAAGTACACTTGGTCAGCAGTTTGGTAAATTCTATGAAATCAAGATTTGAAACTATGTTTCCATCAGAGGTGGCCATACATCATAATAAAAAAAAGATTTATTGCAAAAGTAAGAAGAATATTTTAAATTTTCTAAAAATTTAACTTCCAACATTTCATTTTTCAGCATTTTTTAACAAATTTTGAGACTTATCAACCAGCAAACAAGGTAATTTATGTTAAATAAGGCCTTTGCTCAAATTCTTTTGAATAATTTTTCAAATAGTTATACTTTATTTCTGACAGTACCCTATAATTTTGACAAACAGTGTAACAACTGGATTTGATTTATGGTTATTTTAAAAAATATGCACTTCTTAGAAAATGAATCTCTATATATGGCTTTATTTATGTTTGTGAGGCAGTGTTAATAACCATGAAGATTATTAGCTCTAAATTGAGAAATAAAGTAGTACTTGGTGTACCATTAATAAATTTTTGACGATTACAATATCGGAAATGGAAGTGGAAATCAAATGTTAGTTAAAAAATTTTGATGATCTTCACAATAAATGACCTGCCAAATCATTTAAAAAATTGTTTTATTACAAATTTTAAATAAAAGTTTTATATTATGCCATATGAATATAGTTTTCACTAACTGACAATATCTGAATTTTAGTATAAAATTCTAAAAATGATAAAGATAAATGTAGTTTCAGTTATATAAATATGGTCTTTATGATTTTGAGGTATTCTACCAAATTTAATTGGTTATCACTAATCTGGATGCATCACCCGCTTTGAAGATAAGTCTTAACAGATTAATCACTTAAAGATCCAAAATATTGTTACAAACATCCTCCCTCCCGATTGAGGTGATATCATTGTTAAAATAGGAAAAATTAGCACTATTTTCCTTTATGCTGCTTACTTAACTTTTAATCATGACTGATGTCACTGAATGGGTAAAACCATGATGCACTTATAGCTTGTCTCAGGTTCGGCTTCTAGCATCTGAAAAGACTAGCTGCATGGAATTTTCATGATTTTACCATGTGTAACATAAATACATATTGTTTCGCTTAAAATTTTGGCTCGTCAGATTTTTGAATACTGATAATTCAATCTGAGTTCAAATATTGGTGAATGAACTGGCTGCATCAGTGTTTTTGTAATTTTTCCAATGTATAATGTGTATATCAATTTCTAATAGAAAGTCATTCATGAAGACAGTTCTCATGTTCCACATTGAAATAAACTAATCCTTAAAATATTCTCAACTAGGGCTTTTTGAGGTTTTTGATGGTAGCTCCTGCATGTTTTGCATTAATTAATGCAGCTCAATTTAATGCATTTTAATACATCTTTTGTCACTGTAAATCTAACACTACCTGATTTTTATAGGAGAATTTAAAGGGTAAGGTTTTATCATACTTGTTTATTAGATTGAAACAAATTTTAACCAGAGTTTAAAAAGAATATGTTATTTATTTTTAAAAAGTATTTAGAGAAATGCCAGGCAGATTTTAGTTTATAAATCCCTGCGTTCAGGAAAATGGTAGTTCTGTGGTAAGTAATGCAGTGGGGAAAAATAAAAATATAATATTTAAAAATTTTTGAGATACTTGAATTGATTAAAATTGCTTTCCATAAAGTGTTATTTTTATTTAAGGCTATTTTCTAGCCTTATAAATAATAGCTTTTAAATCAATTTAGAATGCAAAGAATATATGTCCATTTTTATATGTACATAAGTTTCTAATGTATATGGAATGTGCTTTTGATGATTTCATTTTTGTAAAATATTGCAGGTATCAATTTTCAAACCTACTGCTGTAAAATACAAATCACAATAAAAAGAATCAAGTGAATTTTTGATTTTCTGATTTTTAAAAGTTCATATTATAAGTTATTGTACATATGTATTATTCCATTAACCATGGAATTGTTACCAAACAGTGCAGTTTAACACCAATTACAGATAAGTATGACATAATAACATGCTCATAATGTCTGCACTTTCATTTGATGTAACCATAACTGATTTTTACTAAGCTGCTGTTTGTTTTTATGACCACATTTATGAAGGTTGCTATTTATATTTCTGGCCTTAGCAACAGTAAGTATTGCTAGGCAACTACAGACGATTCCAATCGAAAGTTTGATATTTTTAACCATAACTTCAGAATATTTTGCAAATTTAGCATAATTTGTGTTGTTTACAGAAAACTGAAAAAATCATCTCGGGTAAAAAAACAGAATTGATTTGTGAAACATTTTTCGTGTGATTATTTTTCATAACTTTTGACATGGGTTATTAAGACAAGAGTGCTTTGATCAGCTTAATTCTTTATACAGTGATAAAGCACCATCCTACATCACTGTAATAAACTGGTCTAATGAATTCAATCATGGTGGATGTTCTCTCCAGTACGAATTCCGTGAAGATCGTCCAAAATCGTTTGTTGTGCCAGAAAATATTGATGCTGTGTGTGAACTGATAAAGCAAGATCATTATGGGACATACCGTGAGACTAAGTCATCTTTGAGCATTAGTATGACAAGCACTCAGTCAAGCATCAATAAGATATTACATGAATATTTGGCATAAAAATATTTGTTCACGTTAAATTTCGTATAGGCTGGCAAATGTTCAAAAGAAGGCTTGTGTTGATTGGTGCGAGGAAATGTTGGAAAAATACATTCAAGGTGCATCAAAAATAGTTTATAATATGTATACAGGTGAAGAATCATAGATCTATGCATATGAACTCAAAACAAAGCAGCAGTTGACTGTATGGATTTTCCAGGATGAGCCAAATTAAACAAAATTTGTCCGTAGAAGAAGCACATCGAAGCAAATGGTTGTCTGTTTCCTCAGCATTATGGTCACATGGCTAAAATGGTGCTAGAGCAAGGCAGGGTGGTCAATTACAAATGATACAAGGCTATTTTTTTGCCAGAACTCATTGGAGAAATTCAAAAAAGGCACAAGAGGTGAATCATTCTTCAACATGGGGACAATTTGAGCTCTCTCACGTCGGCTCAAGCAGAGAAATTTTTGACGGGCCAAAACATCGAATTGATGGGTCATCTGTTGTACAGCCTTGATTTAGCATTCAATTTTTTGTTTTTTTATTCCCACTCATCAGAAATAAATTGTGTGTTCAGCAATTTGCGACACCTGAAGAAGCAGTTGATGCTTCCAAAATGCATGTTTTGGAGATACCTCAATTGGAATGGAAAAAGTGGTTTGAAAATTGGTTTAAATGCATACAAAAGGGATCTTCATGGAGAATATTTTGGAAAATAATAAAACCAATTTCGATCATAAACTTTTGTTTTCTCATTGTTAGACTAGAAATATAAATAGCAACCCTTGTGTTAACTGTTATTAGTGTATATTTTCTTGCATTTAAAAAAAAAAGTGATATTAAAATTTGGGTCCTGCCTTTAGCAGCAAGTAGTTGTTTATGTTCATATCAAGTCATGGGATCCTACCATAAAAAATGAGTATCAATCAATGCATAAAAAATGAATATCAATGGATAGTATGGTATACTTTATTTTAAAATGTATAAATAGTGGTGATACTGCTTGAAAAGTTGGGAAAAGAAAATATCCATTCAGAGAGGATGTGATTTGAGGGCTGCAGAGTCTGATTTAATAATTTGTGACTGTACTCCAGGTCATTTACAGCTAGTTGAGAAAATTAACATTTATTACATGGGGAAAAGCACAGCTGGATATAGCCAAAAAGTACTAATAGATTAGAACGGTTACCTCTAGGAATTGTGTATTTAAACCATTCTAAACAGTGCTTCATATAAAATAGGAGAGCCTAATGAAATAATAGGAATCAATGAAAGGCTTTTTAAACAAAATGCAAAAATGAAGTGGGTCAGATATTGATTCTTAAATAAAGAGGCATCAGTTTCTTCAGAATTCTGCAGGGACTTTGGTGTAATTTTGACAAGATCTCTGCTAATTTTTATGATTTAATGGTAGCTAACTTTCATAGCTAACAGGATAAGTAGGTGCCAAAGTTATTTTTATACTAGATATACAAATGATAAAATAAAACGATTTTTTCTTATTATTTCTTAACGATTTTTTCTTCTTATTATTTGTATTTTCATCTTAAGTTTCACTTTTAATATCTTTTATGAAGTTATCTTTTTCATTCATTACTCAGGAAATTGTTTTGTTTTTGGTTGGCTCTTAGTTTTTGCTCTGTGTCAATATTCAGTATATTCTTCATGGTATCAATAATTGTTTTACTTTTGACTGAAAATGAGAGATTTGATTTCTTTTCATTTAAGACAGTTGTATGATTAATAATTCTCAGTTTTAATATATCACTGGTGAAAATTATTTTGAAATATTATGACAATTATATTGAATTAAATGAATGAAATTTACAGAAATGTTATATTATTCTTGATTTTAGGGAATCGAGAAATTTTTGAATTGGTAATTATTCAGTAATTTAATTGGATTAAATTGGAATTTTAATAGTAAATGCATATAACAGTCTTTTGAAAACTTGACAGTAAAATTTGTGTTAATTATGGAATACTTAGAGGGTATTGTATGACCAATATAATGTCTAATTTTAGTATATCATAAAAAATTTGAAATATGAGAATTGTGAGATATTAAAGAATTTGAAGTAGAGACAAAGTGAACAAATATGAGTTCAGCTTGGTTGTGATAGCCAGCTTGGTTGTGATACTCATATAAACCTTTAGTTTCTGAAAAGGTGTGATCTTTGAGAAATGTGATAAAGCCATATTTAGGTTAAAGATGCATTCATGAACTGTCCAATATATTGCAACTTTTTGTTTTTCTTTTTAGATGATATTTTTCCCAGAATGTTTTGATCATGTTGGAGAAAGCAAAGAACAATCTGTGCAATTAGCTGAAACTTTAAACGGACCTCTTTTGGCCCAGTATAAGCAGTTAGCTCAAGAAAAATCAATTTGGCTGTCATTGGGAGGATTTCATGAAAAGGTAAATTAGTCATTTTAAAATTACATTTTTATTTAATTTATGCAATACCTGATGCTGTAAGAACTATGTTGCTATTAGGCACAAATTAAAATTTTTAATGAATACTTTAATAGTAGAAATTTTACTGCAGAAAAATAAATATATAAATTTGATTTTCTGTAACTCTGTAGGATGGAGACAATTACAGACCTGATTCTTTTAGGGTATAGGCATAATTAATGCTAAATAAAAATATGCAATTACTTTTTACTTTTAGATTTTTGACACCAGTTTTCCCACCAGAGAGCCTTCTCAGTAGAGCTTCAAGATGAAACAAATGATATCTGTCTCTCTCTATATATACAGTCTGAGATCCGTACCTCAAAACCGCTTTTTTTTTTTATTTTTAAAATTTTTTTTAATGCTTTACGCATGCGCATTTGATTATTTTTTTTCCTCTGTGGAGAGTCCCGATTTTTAGTTTCACGTCGGCACTACATGAATACCTTGTTATTGAAGAAATAATAATTTAGCAAACTTTACAAAAAATAATACATTTAAAGGAGTAAAGATTTCCCCCATTATATATCATGCAAATAAAAGAGCATGGATGACACAAGTGTTAATGAATGATTGGTTTGAAAAGCATTTCATACCCGAGGCTTGGCAGAATTCGCTTGGTTTACGTGATGATGCAAAAACTGTCCTAATGTAGACAACTGTACGGCGCATACTTCACTTAAAGTTTTGGTGAAAGATAATGTATCCATATAATTCTTTCCACCAAACTGTACATCCATCATTCAGCCTATGGATATTGGAATAGTGTGCGTGCTGAAATGCAAATATAAAGTAGAATTTTCAAAAGCCATGTTAAATTTCTTGAATAATGGCAATACTGTTTAAGAATTTTTGAAATATTTTAGCATAAAATCTGCTTTGTGGAGCATTGCAAGATCGTGGAAGGATGTGCCTCCAGATACTTCAAAAATGCTTGTTATAATTTATGGCCAGCTAACCATATTTCATGATGAATATAATAGCCACGAATGTGAAGGCTTTCAGATATCTCAAACCAAAGGTGAAATTTCCCAATTAATGGATTTTCTAAAGAAATGTCAAGAAGAATGTAAGGAAGATGATATAACAGAATTTTTTTTATTGCGATGTCATTGCCTCAATCATCAATCAATTAACGGACAGCAAAATCTATAGTATGGTTCTAGATTCAGAAAATACCGCTACCAATGGAGAAGAAAGTGACAGATGACAAAGAGGTTATTGAAAATGAAAAAATTTCGATTGACAAGTTAGTCCAAATTCTCGGCACAACAGTTGCAGAACTTGAACTATGGAACTTTGAACAAGAAAGCATGTCTATCTATAGAATTAGAGAAAAATAGTAACACAAAAAAAGCAAATTAAACACCTTACATTGAAAGAAATGTTTAAAAAAGTAAGCAAATAAATATTAAATTTTTTTTTGGTAAATTTTGTTACACTTTAGATCATAAATGCTTCATTTTTTAATAAATCATGATTTCATATTTAAATTTTATAATTTCTACATGCCATCGTACTAATTTTAAACCAATGATCTAATATCTGGAAAAATCTCAAATCCGGAATCGCCGAAGTCCCGATGAATCCAGAATTCGGACTTTGTACTGTATATGTATATATATATATATATATATATATGCCTAACTTGAATTGTCAGTTTGGCATCTCCTTAGTACTTGAGTAAAGGACAAAACACCTTCATATTTATTTCTTTAATTATTGTTCATTGAACGGAAGTTGGTTTGTTTCCCTTGAAAAGTTAACTAATTTCTGATCAATGGCAATGATTACTTGCTTTTAATTTAACTACTTGCTATTAATTTAATTTCTTTTTACAATTGAAATTTTGTTATTCATGATTTAATTTAAGTCCCCATTAAACATTTTTAACAATTTACATTCAAGTTACTTTAAAAGAATTTTCGGAATTAAACTTACTAACTATGGATTCACTCTTTTAAGATAATTCTACTAAAATTAATCTTAGGAGATAATAAAATCAATATTTCTTTAGTAAATATATATATAGATAGATATAATTAAAGACATAAAGTAAGAAACTTAGAACTAATATTAGACAATGACCAGAAATTGAAATTCATAATTTAATAAATTTCAAATAATCATATAAATGCAACAAAGAATTTAAAATGTTAAAACCAAAACATTTCCTAATTAAAAAATTCCTAAAAAAACATAATTAGAATACACAAAAAGTAATTAAGAACTTCAGTCACTCTCATTATACACCAGTCTAAACTATGAGATGTGAAACATTAAGTGAAGTACAGGTTTGCCATTTCGGCTTCATGGCGAAACTGAAAAACCTTGGCCAGAAAGTAATCGCTCAAAAGGCTAAATTCATGTATGTAATATGTAATTTTGAAACCAAAAGAAGAACTTTTAAATATTTCAAAGAAAATTTATTTTTTTTAGTCAAGGGAAAAGATTGCATATTAATTGAATGAAATTTAAGTAAATACTTACTCTTGTAAAACAAAAATGGGAATAAATAATATTATTTAGCATAAAACTTTAATTAAATTCTAAAATCAATTAATCCTTATAAAAGACTAAAAAAGTTGCCCAAAAAGTGATCAAATAGTTTTTAAATTGCTTTATAGATATGAGTAAAAAAAAACTATAAGGTTGAATTTTAGTTTTTAAATTTTGTAATTTAAAATTACAGAAAAAAGTTGAAAAAGGAAGTAAAGGAACTATGTTAGAAAAGTAAAAAGTCTTCACACAATGGGCTCCTCATGACGACTTTGAATATATATAAGGCCATGATTAGTAATAGAATAGTAATTAAAAAAAAAAAAAACATAGACAAAAATACTAGGCATCCTTATATTTTGTTTTCAAAAGAATTGTTTTGTTGAAATACAGTAAGCAGCTATTAGCATTTATACTATTTTAATAGTTTTACAAATTTAGGAAATAAAACTAACATCACAAAGACAAGGCTTAGTTTTCCTCTTTAAACTTTACTGTAATTTAGGCTAGCACCCTAATTACTTTTAAATGTTGCTCGTAAAAATAATATTGAAATTAAGGAATATCAGAGTTCCAACTGATTAACGTGTAGACATAATGATACTCCTCTGAACCCTCCTGCAACTAAACAACAGACATTAAGAAAAACATTTAACTGCATTTAGTCTATTACATGTAATATCTGAAATCTAGTTTACATAGGACAAAATAGGAATAATCTTAATATTATAATTAACAACCATATATCTTGCATTAAAACATTTTGAAACAGTAAAAATATTAATAATTCCACTACCAAAGAACTTGAACATTTTAAATCACGACTCTAATAATAATACTATCGAAAGTTAGCTATAGTACCTATCTTAAAAAAACTTTTAAGGATCTCATATGTTTTGCAGTTAAGAACGCTTTATCCCTGTGAATTAACTTTGTATTAATAGTAAATCTGCATTTTATGCTACCCTTACAAAAATCAGTTTTTTAGGGAAAAAAAAAAAAAAACTCGGGTACCAGAGAATAGCAAAAAGTTAAAACTTCTTTAATACTACAGTCAAAATCTCAAGATTTATTTGAAGACCAAATTTCAGAAAAATATTCTTAACTACCTTATTCCCTACCTCACAGACATCTATTACATTCAAAATTTTTCTCAAGGAAATTCTAAAAGATTTAGCACTGTTTCATAAAATTCAAATTCAACTGTGCTTCTTCCAAAAATTAAAAAGAAAAAAAAATTCTGTACTATTAACTTTCTATATAAAAATTATGATGATCTTCAACTTCATAAGATTTTTAAACAAGCACAACAAACATTTCCTGCAATAAAGTCTAAAATTTTGGTTTGCTTCAAGTACCGTAATTTTGAGTAGATAAGTCGCACTGTCGTATACGCCGCAGCAAAGCATTCCGAAACATGGCACTTAATATTCATTATCGCATTCCCTGCCATATTATGTAATCATCAATAACCTTTTGTAAATTTACAAGATAAATTAATCACTATATATAAAGAAATAAGGAAGAATATCTTACCTTAAATTTGTCCCCCCCAAAAAAACGAATTTGAGATTTCTAATAGATATTATTTTATGGGTACCACCATAAATTACTATTATGAGGATATGTAAATTAGATAAAAAAAAAATTTTTAATTAAATTATACTGCATTTATTATACAAAAACTTCAATGACTCATCGATGTCAGAATTAATTAAATTTAGCAAATGACCATTAAGGTCAGTTTCATCATTCTGTTCTAAATCACTTCTTTCAACATCATTATCTTCACTTTCATTTTTTTTTCGATGATTTCTGATTTAATGAAAGCTGACACCATCGTATCAGCTCGGACCGATTGCCATGATTTATCGACCCATAAGGCAGCCTCCTCATACAAAGCTTTTCTCATTCGTCTGTAATTTGTGAAGGAATGGAGTCCACTTTGCATCCATTCCTCCCACTGCTTTCATAGTTTATGTTTGAAAATTCTATTGATAGTGAGATCCAGCAGCTGTAAAATTTTTCTGAGCCCACCTGGTATTCTGAGACATCGGCGCTAAGTTTTTTGCTTCAGAGCTTATCGTAACCACTAAATGGGATCACATTGAATCCGGATCAATGAGTCCTCAGGGGTGGAAAAAAGCACCTTTCCTTTTTTGATAAATTTTCTCTCAGCCAAAACATTACTTCTTCGCACATCCATCCTTTTTCGTTGGCTCAAATAATAACTCCTTTAGGGAAGTTTCCTTTCGGAAAAGTTTTTCTTTTGAAAATTATCAAAGGCTTCTGTACATTGGCAGCACAGCCCAAAACACTAAGTAAAATAAGTCTTTTCATTCCCGGTTGAAATAGTTTTTTCACCTATTGAATGAACAATTCTGCTCGGAGGACAATCAAAAGTAACGGACACTTAATCCATATTTCTTCTTCGCCCCCTTTTTAAATTTTGTTCTGTAATT